TGAAACTTTCAATACACTTATAAGCTAAGTTGTTACTCGCTTAATTTTGTCTTACAACTGTGTATTTGTACAATTTCATACGATTGCAATTGACTCGCGTTGCTCAGGCGACGATGAGCGAGTTGACAGGGACTCTCCCTGTCGGCAGGGCGAGTCTTCCTCCTCCTCGTCTCCCTCGTACAGCTCCTCCAGTGCGGTGGGGGATCCTAAATATGTCAAAAGAAAGGATATTTTCAAAACATTTGTCTATAGTTTGTTACTTGCTTAATTTTGTCTTACAACTGTGTATTTGTACAATTTCATACAATTGCAATTGACTCACGTCTTGACGAGGTCGATGGCTCCCCAAAGACCTCCTGGTAGGCGGCGGCCACCACCGTACCGTGTATGACGCGACTGACTGAGCTAAGTCATAGTACTTAGCCTGCGTCGTCTCACGGTGGCTCATGGATTTAAAGTCCGGCCTCTGGTTTAACATCATTGTGGCCATTGACTTCCTCCAGGTGGTCAACGAAATTTGATTAGCTCCTGAGGGCATCGCAGAGCTCCAGAAAGCGGTGAAGAGCCGGCTGATGTTGTCGGGGTTAGCAAATAGGAGTCCTCCAGCTGAAGGAAATAGGGGCGATGACTCCCTCACCTTTCCGACCAGGCATGGCAGGATGTGCTCAACATAGCTGTTGAGCATGCGGTAGACATCCTTGGTCACGGCGAACCTTGCCGCCCCGGAAGACCGTCGGTCTTATGTTTTTCTTGGATTAGCACGTGAAATCCTCCCTGCTCCTGAGCAGAATTGACGGACCCCACCGTCAGGGGTCCGATGGCGGTGGGTTAGGGTTAGGGTCTCCCTAACCCTCTCCTCCACTGCTCAGGAACATGTTGGATAGCAGGTAGTCCCTTACGAAGGTGCAATCTGCCACCGGCAGGTTGGTTGCTGCCTCCTGCAACAGGTCCCTTGCTAGTTGGCACCTGTCGGAGCTGTCAAATGTCCTGATGTTCTCAGGTGTGATCACATTGCGCAGCTCCGACACACAAAGCTCCACTTGCATTTCTTCATTCATTCTTAGTAGAGGCCTGTCATGGTTGGAGATTGTTGTTATAACGGCCCTCAGCCTCTCCACGTCTCCGCCGAGTCGCCCCATCTGCACATTCAGCAGCACCATCTTTACAAAAATGTTCAGGCTTGTTAGGTATGACCTGATTGAGCCTGCTACTATCTTTTGTCCCTTTAGTAGACGTATCGCAGACTCAATCAAGTCTGGGCCTTCTACCTCGAGGTCCTTGATGGTGGTGAGGCCCATTAATTGTATGATGTGCGAAGCCTGGGGAAAATGCTGCTGGGTACTTTTTTCGGACTTTGCTCCTCCAGCGTTTAGTAACGATCATTGCCTGTCGTGCCATTTGTTGATAACATTGTTGTTAATACAGGTGCCCTGGGCTGTCACCTCGACCGGCACGAGAACATTGGTAAAGGTGACATAGGAATTGCAGGATTTCAGTTTGTCATGAACGACCGACGGTTTGATGGAATTCCGCTAGTGCTGGAGACGCCTCTAGATGTCTGTGATGATCACGAAGTCGAGATACTCTATGGCCTGTGTGACAACTAGTGTTATATCAATGTCTGCAGCGTTTCATGTGTGTATTCATTGTTCTACAGCCTTGTATGATACATTGTCTGCAACGTTCTGTATCACTTCGCAATGGTTCCGTGTTTGTTTACTGTTCCTAGTATTGGATTATATCATATTTGGCATAATCTTGTGTATGTGCTTAACTGCGTGTTTGGATGTGTACTTTGATAATAACGTTCATGATTTCTGTGTAAATTCCTGTTTGTTACACATTCCATGCTATTAAGCAGATTTAGTTTTGTATTTCCCCAGTTATTTATACTCGTATAGTTTGTTATATAATCGTAAATGTTTACAGCAATCGAGTGGGCTATTTGCAAAAGTATGAGTCATGAATGTAGTTTTGTATTTATTGAACACCGGGTTACGTGTGTTATGTGTATTTCTTATATGTTAGATATATTATTAAGTACGAGTTATTAAGTAAAGGGTACGCATAATATAAGAGTGGTAGATATAATCATGGATACCTTGTGTTCGTTTTTGTGGTTGTGAGTGTGTAAGTGAAACAGAGGTCGTGCTAGCAGTTTATTGTATAGAAAATCTCAGAATTGGGGCCATTCCGATTTCTGTGGGTACGTTGCAAACGCGTCCTGCTGTATATTGTAATATACATATTCGTATATACTACATCTCGTTTGCACAGTCAGCTACAGTTTACCCGTAATAACCTGCGCAACTCTTACTGCTCTCGTGATATGCTCTACTACACACCTCAGCTACGTAGCAGTATCGCCTTCCCGGTAGCGCGTCTCTCAGGGTTACTGCCTAATAAAAGACTCCAAGGAGTAGACAGGGGTGGGAAGTGCAGTGTCGGCTGCCAACATCGCCGTTGAACTATACATTTGAAAACGTCGCGACCACGGAGGTATACCCGGCGCTGCTTTACACGTAATCGTTGTAAGTGCGTCAGTAAGTAAGTGAGTTAGTTTCAGCTGGACATGGCGCTGGGATTTTAACAGCTGCTGTGCACACAGAGCGCCCTGCAAAGATGTGTGCAGTGCGCAGAAATGTCTTCGCGCAGTTCTAAATGTCTACTTTATTATAACCAAATGGAATGTCGGCATTCGCTGAACGAATGCATTACATCAAAAAACACCGGGCTGCTCTCTCGCTCGTCGCGTTGCATAATTTATGCGTTCCTCTTCGCGATTATCAGCGATAAGTGGACGCCTCGCTTATGACATTACCTGTCATATAGCTCCGACAGCTGTCGCTCATAACGGTCACTGATGTGGATGGAGGGAGGTCGTGCTGCGAGGCAGCCCCTCCGATGTCTGCATAAGGCCGACGTTAGTTACTTACTGCTGCTGTCTCAGCTTCATTACTCTGCGTAATGCATGAGCGCGTTAATTGGCACCGGCATTGTTACGATGCCGGTAATGATCGTAATATATTTCTCTAATTCCCAGCTGGCCATTCCTTCCTCTCCCTTCCCTCTCCGCCTCGCCGCTCCTCCTCTCGTGCCGTCCGCTGCCCGTGCAAATCGTTTTGTCCTCCAATATAATATATCGTCCATCTTATATGATATCAATCTCGGAACTGAGTATTGCGCGAGCGGGTGGGTGCGGGGATGTGGGTGTGTAATTGCAGCTAACGTTCAAATTTCAAATTTCAAATTTGCATGCTATGTGGTTTTGATTTGTCATGTTCCTGAGAATTACCTGTCATTGGTCATGTGAGCTACAATTTATCATCTTGATGCTTTTGCATTACGTAGCTTGGTAAAGCTTACATAATGTGTTTATATAGTGATATGCACAAACCTAACTGGGTTCATTTGGGACATTCCTAGACTGTAGTAGTCTTTAGGTGACTAACTTCACACCTATCTCAGCAACTAATCCTCCTGAACCTCACATGCTCAAACTAATCTTAAGTTTACAAATAGGTGTAGGACACATGATGCAGTATTTCTCGTGAAATAGTACATTCTCCAATTTTAAATTGCACCAAGAAGCATGACCGATTGAAGTCGATCTAGCTGCGGTAACCTTCGTATACGGGTAAGGTTCAATGCACATACAGAGTCGTCAGCGTTGTGATGTGTATAGCAGTATTTCTGATATGTATTGTGTGTGTTGTCAAGGACATCAATGTTTTCATTATTGTTTTAGTTTTTTGCAGTGGGAGCCAATCTGTAAACTAATGTTGGACTATGCGAGGTATGACGTTGAAGTGGATGAGATTTGAATTTCACGGTGAAGAAATGTTTGGATGTGAAACGCCTAATGACTTGGAGATGGAATCTCCAGATTGTATTGATGTGGTAGTGAAACAATTCGAGTAACGGCGATATGAGTATAAAATGCGAACCAACATATGACGATAGTAGAATGCATTTAACAGCTAATTTGTTTATAAGTTGAGTAAAGTTTTATATGGTATGATAGTGGAGGACGTTTTTCCATGTATGTGGTAGAAGTGCTGTCTATTTATCTATATATCTTTACGAATGCACACTCGATTGCATAGCAGAATAGCTGTAGGATAACAGTGGAGTTGAAGAATTTGTTGTTTGTTCATGTTATTTGTAGCAGGAAGTAATATTAACAATGTGCATTTTCGTGCAAATGACAGTTTACTAATTGTACAATACTACATATATAACTACTGAACATTCAAACTCAACTGTCATTTATACATTTCAAACACTCCGGTACTCCCTCGTGTGAGTGTATATAAAGTCGAGCATGAAAACCCACATTCTTTGTGTATTTATATCTTGGAATTGTTTGGCTACATATCATATGCTACTTTGTTTCCAAAGTTTTAAACCGACAAGTTGCACAAGAACTTGTGAACAACATGGTACTGCTTCTAGTAATTTGGTACTAAATAGATTTTGTATTTAGTTACCATTACATTTTATTGAAACGCTTGAAGTGCCTGTGGCTGTAGAGCTGGGAATACCATTCTGCCTAGTAAAACTGTATCTGTGGCTCGTAGCAGTTACTGAAGATCAGGTATCTAGCAGTAAAGTACATTTTGCAATTCATTAAAACACAGAATCTGCATTTGCGTTGTTTTTAATTTCATTTCTTATTAACTAAGAAATCGTGGCTCACAACAAAATTGCTTCATTTCTGTTTTTATACACAGGATGTACTTCGGAGACCCTAACCTAATGTAAAAGTGACTACGTTGCTGGAATATAAAATGAAGAGCAATATACTGATGCTACTTACAGTTTGCCTTTCTTATAAAAATTAGGAAATTAAGATTATGGTGTTCGCTTCACATTCCAATTATCTTGTCAATCCAGTTACAGCTTGGAATCTAGCTTCATTTCCTAGAACCTTAAGTAACTTGAAATTATTGTTTATAACTGCAAGTTAAGACCTATAAAAAAATTGCAGTGATATTGCTGTAGTGCGTATATCTTGAACGAAAACATGTCAATTCTTAGAAAAATCTTTTCAAAGCGTACAGAAGACATTACATTTACAGCGTACATTGCGTTTGCAACAGGATTCCAGAGCAAAGTGCTTTTGCGCCTGCAAAACATCGAAGAAGCACAGGCTCAAATCTTTCAAATGCTGCGCTCCCTGACCTCTGCCAGCAAAGCGGCAGAAGAAGAAGACCTGGAAGAAATACTATCAGGCCCAGCAGACACAGTCGAAGAGCTGGAACAACTGTGCAACCGCCTGACTGATCACTCTTTTAAGAAACAAATGGTACGTGTTACTTTTAAGAAAGAAAAAAATGCAAGTGCAAGTTTAAAGTGAAAGTTTCATGCTTAACTATCTATGTGACTAATAATTAGTTTAATAACTAAAGTACTTTTATGTTAGATATATATATGGCAGTAAACATTTTTATGTTTTTAGATGTCATTGACTAAGAGCACTTATTATCTACTTTGCAGACTTGCTATTTGACTTCCTTGGGCGGCCGCAACATAGGTGATACTATTACAAGAATGCTAAGAACAGTTGGGACCAATGCGTTGTGGTCCAACTACAGCATGAAGGGCAAGAAAGGCAAAGGATGTTTTATAGAGCTATCAGTCGCCATACTCATAACACGTAGGTTTTCAACACAAAATACATGTGCAGTGGGTTGTTTATTATTGTGTCAAAAACAACCTTCTTTGTTGCTTGAAGCATATTTGAGGTGCTGACCGTACAGATTATCAAGGAACATGGCAATGAACAATATTTATGATGCCTCATTCATTTTTATACCCAATGACCACAAACACATATTTCTTAAAGTTTACTAAATATGTCAAGAACAATATCCATGTTATACACAAATGTGAGCGTAGTGTAGCTGTGTTGTCGAAACTCTTCACATGTCACTTTCTTCTAATCAACACTGCTATTTCTTTTCATATGGATGCACAATTTCAATGTTTTCGTGTCTAAACATACAGTGCAGCTCGTTTCAGAGTCGGACATTTGTCCGTCACAGAGTGAAGCTAATACATTTGCTTTACAAATATTGAATTGGTGTCAATTATAAAAACATCAGTGAGGTTCATCATTGCAAGTTTTATGAGTGTAGGTGACATTATATTTGTGTTTGACTAATATAATGTCCTGTTATCACTCTTGCTTTTACATATGAGTTTGACGTTACTTTTTTCCCAGGAGCATGCATGAAGAAGCATGCAAAGGCAAAGGCGTCAGAGATACAGGAGGAAATTGGAGACTGCCTTAAGTATGGTCCAAAACACAAAGCAGGAGCAAAATACAAGGTCAAACACAATTGTAGCACCTTACTTTTCGGTGCTTATTTTGTTTATGTGTTTCAATCTGCCAATTCAGTTATTGTTGCTTTCCAGTGCATAGCTGGATTATGTTAGTTATCAATAAACAACAAACAGCTAACCTGTATCATATTTCACCATGTACCATGCATGTGCATGTGCATGTGTTTGTTGCATGTGTGCTGTTATCACTGTCACTGTAGTTAGTTATAGCGTAGCTTATAGGGAATTCATGTCTCACTTTGACGCATGACACTAAATAATGATATTCTATTTCATTTATTGTTCTATGTTGTTCGATGTTGCCTATATGATCTTGTAGGCCCGTAATGTTTATATTGCGATTTGTAACTATTCCATTTATATATTAAAAGTCGAAATTGTCAACAACGCATTTGGTAGGTACTGATGTATTTGTGGCCATATAGGAAATACGACACCAAGCTATAAGGTTAACGTGACGGACGTGCGTCTCGTAGCATTAACGATTGCTTAATACTGTTACTGCTATAGGTGCATTTCTGCTCGTGTCGTTCATGCATACGTAGCATGGTAATGAATGTGCACTTCTATGGGGAAAGATTGGCTGGTGTACGATGCATGGTTCGTGCCATTGCTATAATAGCAGCAGTTGTGTATAAAGAGTTGCAGTAGCACATAGAACCGCATTTGACTAATTTTCGGATTGCACATGTGCACTTACCAAGCAGCTGGAAGACATCAAGGAAAAGGTCATTCCACAGAAAAGTGATATAGCTGAGACGGAACAACAGATAGGCTACGTGCTATGAATGTGGGGGTGGCATGACGAACGTCGTGGCACGTGCAAAGGAGTGCAACTTCAGAGTAAAGTTTGGGAAGTGTGAAGTAAAGAAGAGCAGTGTGAAGTATGTGGGACACATCGTCACTGCAGCAGGACTGAAGGTACACCCTGATGAGGTCAAAGCAGTCGCTAACATGCGAACACCACAAAGCAACGAAGACTTGCGTCGATTCGTAGGATTCATTGAATATCTTGCAAAGTTGGAAATTGTGGCATTTCTCATGGTACAACTTGCTATACATTGGCCATATATTGTTGATTACTTATTACTTTTGTTAACAGCAATATTGTTTCGTGATCAATAAATTGGAATAGTGAATATACATAGTATTTGTGTGTGTATTTGTAGCTGTCATGGGAGGAAGGCTTAATATTTGGAACCATCGATATATGTTGAAACGTGCACCCCTTAGGGTGCAGTTGTGACGGAATATGCTGGGGAAATGGACTTAAAATAGGAGTGGTTACATACGAGTTCCGTTCTTGCTGATTGCAAACAATTGTGGCATTCTTCATGGTACAACTTCGTATACATTTCCCATATATTCTTTATTACTTCTTGCTTTTGTTAAGAGCAATATTGTTACATAACAAAGCATTATTCATTAAAACAAACCATTCGGATGGCCGTTGGTCGGTGTTCATGCAATGTCATTTCTGCCCAGTGCTGTGTGACAATCACAAGGCGTGTTGCCTACGTCATGCTCTACTGATCACTAATTATATGTAGTTATCTGTAATGTTCATTACATTATTTCTAATTTGTAAGAACATTATTTTGGTAATTGATTACGTGAAATCCCTATAAGCATTCATCACATGGTGTTTAAGCTGAAATGGAAAGAGCGCTAGTTCAATTCTAACGACCATAGTTGCAACATCGGGCCAAAGATGACGTGGCAGAAAAGTGAATGTACAAGCAACGAATGTGCTGTATCACTAGTGAGGGCTGCATTGATGGTCGTTACTGGCTAAAACACAGTGACACCCCACATAATCTCGATGTCCTCCCAGAAGAGGATGACGTGTCACAGATGCATGTACCCATTGAGTGCCTGAACGAATTGAAGGTGAAGGCGAAGAGAGAGCTGGTCATGTTGACCACATAACATCAATTTCCTGCCACAATTAGAATCATTATGGATATTAGTGACTTCAGTACACGGAGATGACTTGTGAGAGTTACGGCCCTTGTGTTAAAATTGGTGGGACGCTTCAGGAAGGGCCAAGTGACAGCAGATGTCACTGCGAGAGACATACAACAAGCAGAGGAGTGTTGGATAAACGAATGCCACAGATGTGTGTTGCATGATGCATTATTTGCAACATGGAAAACTAAACTTGGCCTCTTTGAGGATGGAGGACTCTTGAGATGTAAGGAACGTCTGGAAAACATGAGTGCTCGTCATTCCCACAAATATCGCATCCTCTTCAATACGAAGCATGCGTTTACGAAGCTGCTTATCGTAGCCTGTGATGAGAGGAGGCTCAGGGTAGAGCTACGATTGGATACCTTCACTGCCATTTATATTGTTGATAAAAATGTATACTTAGAGTAATTGGGAAGTATCAGGAAAACATTCAAATTCTTCTATACTTCATACAGAAAGAATAAAACATGAACGAAATATGTTTAATGTATAATGACTTCTTATGGGCTGGTTTTCAATGGTGACGTATTTAAACAACGGTCACTCACGTGTTTGACAGAGATCCTGATCTAGCAAGTGAACATGGTACGGTGGGACCACTGTCTGGAGCCGCCATCGCGTGCATTGTTGTGATGATAGCGGCACTTCTCGTCATTGTTAACGGCATCCTTCTGGTGAAGCTGCGAGTTATCAACCTCCAGAAGCTGAGAGACCGGTTGCTGCGCAAACCACCGCCCACAGCTGACGTGAACGGCAATGCCGTCAAGATTAATGGCGTATGACGACAGACATTTTTAATGCAAATTTTAGAACATGAAATGTTATGGTGACGATAGTAAATGCCACGAATGGTGCAGGATTGTATTTCACTCACTCGTCCTTCATAGAGTTTATTAAGTTATTGCAGGTTGTGAGGTTTATTTTAGAACGAACGAGAAGTCTGTGTAATAGGTATTTATATACCCGATGGTGATTGTGATTGTGGGTGGTTGCCATGGTGATGAAGTGGCAGACATTGTAAATTTGTGCTTATTTTTGGTACGCAAATTATGACGTTTGGTAAACCCATGTCTTTATTATGGTACTCGTAAAATAAACTACCAATGTATAAACTTTTATCGGGTCTTGCTTTTAATGTGTGGCTAACACGTATTTCTTGTGCACTTCCGCAGTTTATTTTTGTAAGAAGTAAGTTTTAAACATTCTCTCCTGTAGCAGTTCTCTTGTAAGATATGCCTGCGCGAGTGTTTGTGACGCGACATCGCATGAAGTGATTCATAATGGGGTTATTCAATGAACCAATGTACAACGCATATACAAAGTAGCATGCAGTCATAAAGCGAAAACACATCGTCAACACATCAATTTAATAGTTCTAGCCAAGCATTCCATTATTCTCAATTGAATTAGTTGCAGTGCTTAGTTCATGTATTTCCCACGTATTTCAACACTCCTTTGGTGCCCGACGATTCTTCACAACATTTTGAATCGTACCGCTTCATCGATGCGGCTTTAGTCACAGGCGCATGGTTAACGTAGTCCATTTCGAAAAATACACAAACGTATCTGTGTGTAAAGTTGCAACAATCGCTGAACAATGAAATATATATATAATATATGTAATGTAATGTCTGTAATGTCTGTATTACAGGGGAGAATTGTACAGCTCATAATGAAGTGACTTCATACAATTGCATTGACAATGTCTGAAGCGTTGTCAACACATTTCCATAAGGAATTTCGACCCATACAATGCTAAGTGCATGTTACAAGTCATGTGATCGTAACTTGAACAGACGTTGTAGTTCCAAACCAGAAACAGAGGAAGCGAAAGTTCAACTTCGGCGGTAGTCAATAGCTAATATGACCGAGTTGTGACACAACAGTCAAGATGGATACCACGAATAGCACGGAATAAATCGTAGTAGTGTGGCTGCAGTATCAGACAAGTTTATAGGAAGAAATGCACTGAATGCTAATTGGGTAGCAGTACTGACGAAGTGAAGTCAACATGAGTAAAGTGTACTAATTAGTACTAATAGTAGTAGTAGTAGTTAGTAGTAGTTAGTGTTTTGTGATTCGTGTTGATGAATTCGGTTTACGTGCACCTTGCAATATATAGCGCAAAATAAAGAACCATATAGAAGTGGGCGAATGGAAAAGGATGGTTTTGTCACAAACCCGCCGATGCCACATGTTCCTTTGGTGATGTGACAGCGACGTGCGTGTTGTCGTGTATTGCCTCCGTTGCAAAACGTTGTGTCCGTCATGTGTTGTGTCAAGCCATTGCATCAGTGCTCAGTGATAGTCGCCACGTTGCCCACTGACACACGTTCGGCTCCATACCCGTCACGGAGCGCACGACGAGCTTACGATCCGTTGACTATATCTTGACGTTCATTTAGTGGGGTGTAAAATGTCTGTGTTCCTTTGTGGTGAATCGATCATTTTTCTCACCCTGTCTGCATTTCATGTTCTCGTGCATATGGCAGTTACATATTTAAAAGTTCTGCGTAACTGTAATAGTACAGTTGTGTAATTTGTGTTTTTAGTCGCACGCATTTATTGTGTGACTTTCACGCATGACAGTGAATAATGATATTCTATTTGATTTATTGTTCTATGTTGTTCGATGTTGCCTATATTATACTGTAGGCCCCTAATGTTGATATTGTAATTTGTAACTCTTCGATTTATATATTACAAGTAGAAATTGTAAACACGACATTTGCTATGTCGTGATGTTTTTGTGGCGATGTAGGAAATACGAGACGAAGCTATAAGCTATCCTGACATGTAGAGATTCAGGCACAGCGCAAGAAAGAAACAGCTAGGTTACAAGAGCAACAACAAGTCCAACGAACGTATGACCGCTTCGACATGATATTCGAAGTTTTTCGCACATTCCACGTGTAAACACGAAATAATGACAACGAAATAGCAACACCAAACGAACCAGTCGTGTGCGTCCTTTGTTCTCTGAAGCCATTCCATCAGTGCGGAGTGATAGTCGGCGCCTTTCTACGACAAGTGCATCGCCACGACTCACTGCTACCTCGCTGGCTCCCTGCACAGTGGCGGCACGACTGAGTGCTCATTCACTGCGCGCCGGCCGCGCTTCAACGTAATATACCAGCCTGTGCAGTTGGCCAACGCGCATATTGACATTGTAACGCCACGCCCTGAAGGAGAGGAGTGTAATGAGACACGTCAACGTAATGCGACGCCCTGGAGGAGAGGAACAGTGTAATGAGACACGTGAACGTAATAGCACGCAATACGATACAATACAAGTGCAAGTTTTGAGTCAATGAGCAGCAGCAGCAGCAGCTGCACGCAATGGAGGCGTGAGCTGAGTAACCGTCTGTCATGGAGCTTCGCCAAATGAGGTTGGAAAGAACACCCTCTTCAGCTGCACTGTAGTGGGACTGTGTTAAGAGACATGACAGGTGTAGAATAGGTGCGACGCTTCGGACGCCTGTCAAATACCACTACTTTCATCGTGTGTTCACTTAGTGCATGAAGCGGAAAGCGAGCGTGACGGCTGTTTGTTATGGAATGAAACCGTCGGTGTAGTGCCGACGGCAATGCGCCTCGAACACAGTGTCACTGTCAGACAGGGAGTTTCACTAAGGCGGTACAGCTGTCAAAGGGTAACGCACGTTTGGTAAGGCGAGCTCAGCCACGACAGAAACGTCACGTACAGCAAAACGGGAAAAGGTCGCTTGATGTTCATTTTGACTACGAATACACACCGTGAAAGCGTCGCCTATCCATCGTTTTCACTTTAGGAGTTTTAACGAAGAAGTGTGACAAAACCTACGACAGGGATAACTGGCTTGTGGCAACCACGCGTTCATAGCGACCTTGCTTTTTGATGCTTCGATGTCGGCTCTTCCTATCATTGTGAAGCAGAATTCACGAAGCGTTGCATTGTTGACGCACTAATAGGCAAGGTCATATCGGTTTAGACCGTACGGAAAACACAACATCATGCGGATCGAGGAAGCTCTGTGTAAGAAGCGGTACGACATCGGTGAGTAGGGAAATGACGAGGAGGTCGATCCGATGAACATCGCCACGCTACAGGAGCAGCTGGTTAACTGCGACGCGCAGCACGATACACTGCAGCAGACCGAACACGAGGTCACCGCACTTCTAAATGGGAGCGAGTCCGCGCAGACAGCAGCACTGAAGAGGTATGTGACAATGCGGTGGTCTTTACTAACGTTACCGACGTGCGTCTCGTAGGATTCACGATTGCTTAATAGTGTTACTGCTATAGGTGGATTTGTGCTGGTGTCGTTGATGCATACCTAGCATGGTCATCAATGTGCACTTTTATGTCACAAAATGGCGTGGTGTACGATGCACAGTTCCTACTGGTGCTATCATAGCACGAGTTGTGGATAAACAGTTTGAGTAGCACACACAACGAACTTATTGTAATTTAAGCATTGCACATGGTACAATGCACTTACAAAGCAGCTGGAAGACATCAAGCAAAACGTCATTTCACAGACAACTTATGTAGATGACACGCAAGAACAGATAGCGCTGCTTACACAACACTAGAAACATTACAACACAAAGCTGCAGGAACACCTTGCTGTTATAGAATAAGAACGACTGAAGATCAGAGCGTCAATATCGCGAACATTATAGTCACGTGGCTTAGCAAACATGTTCAGGATTAATGTTACCGGCCGGACGGTAGTAGGAAATGTTCGATGGAGTTCATTTTCGGCGTATCTATTGATTTCATGCGTGGAACCCACTTCATCGGTTCCGATTTTCCAACATGAGGGCGAAAATCGAACATGACCGGCAAAAAGAAAGATATCTCGTATATGTGGCTGTCAAAATCGCAAATGAATAAATGAGGTGACAATTCAGGGGTTTTTGGGGTGACTGAAACAGATGCTGGTGATGGCATTTGGCTGAGGTGACCCATTTCGAAGATGGCGGCCAAAATAGAAGATGAGCGCCAATGAAAAGAAGCACTTCCCCTTGCAGCTACCCCGAGTAAATATTTGCAAAAAACGATTTGAAGTCGCTGGTATCTGTGCCTTTAACAGGAATGTGTTTCGTTTAATAGTGCGCGGCATGAGCAGCAGCAGCAGCAGCAGCTGCACGCAATGGACGCGTCAGCTGAGCAACCGGCTGTCATGGAGCTGGGCGCGCCTGAGTATAGCGCCTTCCAGTATTAGTACCAGTACTGGTAGTAGTAGCAGTAGTAGTAGTAGTAGTAGTAGTAGTAGTAGTAGTAGCAGTAGTAGTAGTAGTAGTAGTAGTAGTAGTAGTAGTAGTAGTAGTAGTAGTAGTAGTATTAGTATTAGGTTCAGTAGTGGGGGGGGTAGCTGCACGCAATGGAGGCGTCAGCTGAGGAAGCGTCTGTCATGGATATAACGTGGAGAACAACCAAAGATGGCGGGCGTGTAACAACAACTGATTTATTATAGTTTCGTACAATACTCGTCCATAGGTGGCGCTCGTATATCAATACTGTACATATCGCCACATCTCCCTTCCAAGTATGAACTATACTTTAACTCAATTCCAACTCTCTCTGTGCTAATTCCTACAGGAGATTCTTCAACTAATAAAAATGAAAGAATATGTTTTACTGTACTAACGATATGTCTCTATGTTCAAATCCGTTCCATCAATGTAATGTATGTTTTCATTTCTATGTTTGAACTAAACTGATCAAATATATAAAGAACTACATCGGTGTATGCTTTACACTTTCTGAAATAAATCATACTACAATCACATATACAATCTGTATATGACTAGGTTCAGTTCAACATTCACAGTTTAAACAAGTAATCCAAATCCTATTCTACTCTAATTTCCAACTAGCATCCTTCCTGATAGCTGTCACATACTGATCGACTTAGGCATATTGCCCATGCTACACAAAGTCCTTAAATCTACTCGTGTGGTTGATTACTCTCCCAGAACGAGTAGACACAAACTGGCGCTGCTTCCGATCTATGAGTCACGGCACTGCTTACTGGACCAGCACATGTAGGTTGGCGACTCTCCATCGGATCACATACTATAGCACGGTCTCTACCTTCATCTGTCTCTCGACCAACTGGAACATCCAGAACCTCCGGCACGACCACCGCTGATTCACCTGTTTTCAACAGATGCTTCCGGTTTCTCCTGTATTGCCGACATTTCGCTCGACTATGAATGATCTCGGCTCTGCTGACTTCTCCCTCACAACAGCTGGGTCTTCAGAGTTTCCTCATACGTGCATTCTCACTGTCTCTCCAACAGCAATTGGAGGAAGTGCTCTGGCACCATGATCATAATAATGCTGTTGTTTCGACGTGATTTTTCCCAAGCTGCTCAGTTACTGTTATCGTTGAAGTTAGGTGATTTCAACAACTTTCCAGTTGCAGGCAGACGGGACCTTGTTCTTCGACCCATCAACATCTGACTGGGTGAGCCCATTCCTTGGAGAGGGGTGTTTCTCCACTCCAATATTGCCAAGTAGGGATCACGTCCAGCTCGGCCTACTTTCTTCAACAACCGTTTCAAGGTCTGCACAGCCCGTTCAGCCATACCGTTGCTTTGCGGGTACTCCGGGGAGGAGGTATGATGCTGAAACTCGTATTTGCGTGCAAACTCTGCGAACACATCACTGGAGTATTGGGGACCATTATCGGAAATGACTTCTTCTGGGAGGCCATAACGTGCAAACTGTTCTTTTAGCCACTCAATCACAGTTGCACTCTTAGTGTCAGATACTTTGGTAAACTCGACAAACTTCGAGTAGTAGTCTACCAAGCAAATGTACATAACTCCGTCGATTTCAAACAAGTCTGTTGCGACTTTTTGCCATGGCCTCTGAGGAATCGCATGAGACTTCAGTGGTTCCTTCTGCTGTTTGTTTCGAAATGACAGACAAATGTCACATCGACTCACTAGCTCCTTTATCTGGTCATTCATACTTGGCCAAAACAGGATATCTCTCGCTCTCCGCTGGCACTTCTCAACACCTAGATGACTACTGTGGATACGATCCAACATGTCCGCACGAAGACCTCTGGCACAATAATTCTCTCTGACTCAGTAGTAAACCCATTACTACAGCTCAGTTCCTCACGATATGACCAATACTGTCTCACGTTACAGATACTTTTGACCGTTCCTCCGGCCAACCCATGACAATGTACTCTTTCAGACTGTGTAAAGTACTGTCTCGTTGTGTTGCCAGCTGAAACTCTTTCAACCTTTCCTCGGTGATTGGCATGTTTTCCACTGTGTGAACATGTCCATCCTCTTCACCTTCTTGCTCGGGCAAGCCCACTGGAGCTCGACTTAGTGCATCAGCAATAAACATCTCCTTTCCAGGTTTATACTGGACCTGCAGATCATATTTCTGCAATCTGATGAGCCACCTCTGTATTCTTGGAGGTGCTGATGTCAACAGCTTTCGGTCAGGGCTTCTAATGGCTTATGGTCGGTTTCCACAACCACGCCCGATCTCCCATAAATGTAGTCATGGAACTTTGTACAGCCCCATACAATGGCTAGCATCTCACGTTCAATGTTGGCATAATTTCTTTCAGCACTACTCAGCGAGCGTGAAGCATATGCTACTGGCCTTCCTCCCTGAATTAGACATGCACCTAAACCTTCTTGAGAAGCATCAACCGAGAGTGTGACGGCTTCCTCTGGGTTGTAGTAAGCAAGAACTGGTGTCTTCTCATGTCAGGGCTGATTTGAGGTCATCCATACTCGCCTGGTGATGCTCATCCCAGTGGCCATGCTACATCTTTCCGTAGCAACTCACGCAATTGGCTCACTGCCGCTTGGAGAGGTTAGGAAGGAATTTTCCAACAAAATTCACCATTCCTAGAAATCTCTGCCAAACCAGTTTTGTCCTTTGGCGATTTCATCTGCGCGTGATTGCTGTTATGCGCTCTTTCGACATTGTAGTCCATTCTCGTGTCAGCACGTTGCCCATGTATGCGACTGATGTCAGTCCAACTTTGCATTTCGCACGATCAGTGTGAGGTTATACTCACGGACACGGCGCAAACACTGTATGAAGTTCTCGCATTGTGTTCCTGGATGGTTTTTCCCATATCAAGATATCGTCTCATAATCACCTCGACTCCATCCATGTCGTCAAACATCTGCTGACGCAATTCTCTGCCACCACTTCCGGAGGCTGATTTATACCGAATGCCATGCGTTTAAACCGATGTCGTCCGAACGGCGTATTGAACGTCAACAGCTTGGCACTCCGCTGGGTAACAGGCACTTGGTAGTATGCTTGTCCAGCATCCAAAACACTGAAGTACTGTGCTCCAGACAAAATTTCGGACGGCGACTTCATCCAGTGCTTTCATAGGGTGATGCTCCCGTTTAATAGCTCGGTTCAAGTCCTTCGGGTCGATGCAAATGCGCAAACTCCCATTCGTTTTCTCAATCACCACCATGGAATTGACCCATTCACTAGGTTTCTTCAACAGGTTCTATATACTTCCTTCTTGTGTCATTTTCTTCAACTGTGCCTTCACTTTGTCTCTCAAGGCATAGGGCACTCGCCTGGGCGGATGTACAACTGGTGATACCGTCTCATCAATTTTAATGTCATAAGTAGTCGGCAGACAGCCCAGATATCAAACACGTCTGTGTATTTGTCCAGAATTTCCTCTGGCCTGTTCTCTGGTTCCATGTATTCTCTGACTGCATACACTCTCTCAATGAGCTTCATGTGCAAACATGTGGGGAGTCCAAGAACAGGTCTCACCGCCACCATTCCGTCAATTACATGGAATTCCGTCGGGAATATACCATCTTTATATTTGACGTTGAGTGTCACCTTTCCACGGCTTCCGCTTTTGTCCAAAGTAGCCAACAAGCTTCACACTGGATGGCTTGATGGAGTGTGCAATGTTCAATTGGTCACACAATGTTCTCGGGATACAGTTTAATCTCTGCCCCTGTATCTAACTTGAATGAAACTGGTTGCTGTTTCCATTCCACATTAACTTGCCACTGGTTTCTCTGAGTTGCTGTCACCGAATCAGTGTGTATCATGTCAATGAACAACCCATAGTCGTCTTGTTCATCATTACTGGTCGCGATCTTCAACCAAGTGACATGCTTTTGAAACAGCCGATCTACAACACTTTGCAAAGTGTCCCCGTCTCTTACACTTACTACAATTTCTATCCAACGCTGGACACTGTCCTGACTTGTGGTATGTATATCCACATTTTTGAACATGGGGGTCCTGGCTGGGCTTTTCTTCTCCATCATTTCAGGCCTAGACCTCGCCCCTCCCCCTTTGTGTCCCCGACGTTGTCCCTCTCGCCATGAACGCACGTGCACCGGCACGGCCAATAGCATGAACGACATTAGAGTTACTGCGGAATGTGGTGTCGCAAGTTTCAAATCTTTGCACATGCATTTTGCTTACTTCAGCAGCTCGGCAAATCTGCACCGCTCTAGCCAGCGATAACTCAGGTTCTCGAAGTAGCCGTTCTTATGATGTGAAAGTCGCGCACACCTGACACGATCTGATCTCTAATGAGGGATTGCTGCGCAAAGCATCGAATCCGCATGATTTGGCAAGTCTACGGTAAATCAGATGACAAACTGATCACTGATTCGCCATCATTCTGTACGCGGACACTTGAACAAATGCCTTTCGTACGTTTCGTTTTTCTTTTGGGTTGCAATGCGTTTCGAACTTATCACACACTGTCTTTCTGTTTCAGATTCATCCCCTCATTCTCCACGAGTGAAAGTATTATTACAGCTCAAGTCCGTCTGGTCCGATCACATTGAGCAATACACTGACCTTTCGTTGGTCGTTTGCATCATCGATACCACACGCCGACAGGAAAATTTCATATTCCTGTTTGAACTTTTTCCAGTTCTCACTCACATTTCCTGTGAGTTTCAATTCCTTAGGGCGTCTAAACGGTCCGGCATTCATTGTGAAACACAATTTCTGACACCATATAACGTGGAGAACAACCAAAGATGGCGGGCGTGTAACAACAACTGATTTATTATAGTTTCGTACAATACTCGTCCATAGGTGGCGCTCGTATATCAATACTGTACATATCGCCACAATGGAGGCTTCCAGTATTAGTCCCAAGTTTGACATGGCTGGACCGCAACGTGAAAATAGCGAAGGATCCCTGCTAAGGAAGCCGATGCGGCCGTCGCTTATGCATGGTTCGTAGAAGAAGACGGAGTGTGTTTTGGAAGGAGTTTTGAAGGACGTTGCAAGGACATGTTATCCGCAATTCAACGAGATGCACACATATCTTCGGCACATGATATAATAGGTCCGGGAGGTTGGGGTTCTTTGTGAGTAAACTATCGATTAGTCGGGTCGAAATGGTTGAAATGCGAACATGGAATGAACGGGAATCTTTCCGTAGTCAGACGAGCCCAGGTTACCCATGTTATTTCTTGCCAAACCAGTGTATGAATCGACACACTGAAACCAGGAAAACATTGCATCGATCGAAAAGTATGTAGTTATTGTTGTTATTATTTCGTTATTTATTGTTGTATTTGTTGGTAAATTGCAATGGCTGTATATATACTATTATGATGAAATGGCAAAAGTAGTTGTGGAATGAAATAGGCGATTTTCGCTCGCTCCTCGCGGTCATGCGCCACGATTAGGGATCGCGCGGCCCGGGGGGGGGGTGAACGAAATGCGCCACAGGGAGGTCGATGCGCCCGCTCGGGTCGCTGGGATAATACCGCAGTTCCAGGCCACCTGAGGTCAAATTATTGCAAATTCAAGAAACACGAAATGTTCTTGGGGGGGCTCGGGGGGGTTGGTTCCAACGTCCCGGCCCCCCCTGGATACGGGCCTGAGTTCCACACACGTTCTAGTTCAAAGCCAGAAACAGAGCAAGCCAAAGTTCAACTCCGGCGGTAGTGTGGGCAATATGTGTCTTTTCTTTATAAGGGGCGCAGTCCGTGGAATTGTTTTGTGTTGAGATGACCATGTTGTTTTGTGTAAAGCGCCGCGACTGTTGCGGTGTGTGGTGCACTGCCGTTGACCCTTGACAATGCGAGGGAAAAGTGACCTGGATGAGATGAATGAACCCTTGTACACACTGTGACTTCTGCAACATACCTTTATGTACTCACTCATTTGAGTGACTTACTGTAATTTGTTATGAGCATTGAACTGTCTATCGTATGTATAGGGTGTTGAGGTCATTCCACGCAATTTGTATTGACCTTTACACATTATTCATGAGATGGCAATGATTCTTTATAGAAATTGAAGCACATTTCTATCAAATTCAAGGACATTTCCATGAAATTCCAGCAGTTTTCAAGCAGAAACTCGACATTTAGTAAATGTAACTAGTTTTGACGGGCTGGCCCGAAATGTACGGACTTTTCAAGGACTGTACCAACCATGTTATGGGACGAGCTGAGCATGAGCATCTTCATGAATTCGGTTTACGTCAACCTTGTAATATATAGCCACAAATACATAACCATATAGAAGTCGGCGAATGGAAAAGGATGGTTTTGTCACAAACCCGCCGATGCCACATGTTTCTTTGGTCATGTGACAGCGACGTGCGTGTTCTCGTGTATTGCCTCCGTTGCAAAACGTTGTGTTCGTGATGTGTTGTGTGAAGCCATTGCATCAGTGCTCAGTGATAGTCGGCACGTTGCCCACCGACACACGTTCGCCTCGATACCCGTGACGGAGCGCACGACGAGCTTACGATCCGTTGACTATATCTTGAGGTTCATTTAGTGGGGTGTAAAATGTGTGTGTTCCTTCGTGGTGAATGGATCATTTTTGTCACCCTGTGTGCATTTCATGTTCTCGTGCATATGGCAGTTACATATTTAAAAGTTGTGCGTAACTGTAATAGTACAGTTGTGTAATTTGTGTTTTTAGTCGCAGGCATTTATTGTGTGACTTTCACGCATGACAGTCAATAATGATATTCTATTTCATTTATTGTTCTATGTTGTTCCATGTTCCCTATATTATACTGTAGGGACCTAATGTT